CACACACACACACACAGAGACACACACACACAGAATAGGTTGAGGGGCGATCAGATTTTTACTCTTTCTATTGTGATTGGTTATAAAATGGCTACTCAGTTATCATCACTAAATTCTCATTTCCAGGAAAAAGAAAGGGAAAGGAAAAACTACCTTTTAGTTTATATTATTTAAAGATTCCTTTGTAAAGTCTCCCCCCAAAAAAACTCATTGCAAATTTTATTGGCATTTCATTGGATGGGGAGAGCAATTTGGAAATAACTTCTGTACACTGCAGTGTCATTTCCATTTCACAGAAAGGATAGATGCTTGTATTTGCATAGCAAATTTCTCAAAAATTTCAGGGGAATAAATCTGGGTGTGACTGATGAGGAATAGAGGGGCTTTCATTTTTCGTTGTCATGCCTTCTTCTAGGTCTTTTCTTTAAAAACAAAAACCTCAGCCAGGCGTCGGGAGCTCATGCCTGTAATCCTAGCTACTCAGGAGGCTGAGATCTGAGGATCGTGGTTCAAAGCCAGCCTGGGCAGGAAAGTCTGTGAGACTCTTATCTCCCAATAAACCACCAGAAAACCAGAAGTGGCATGGTGGCTCAAGCCGTAGAGCGTTTGCCTTGAGCTGAAGAGCTGAAGCACAGCACCCAGGCCCAGAGTTCAAGCCCCATGACCAAAAAAACCCAAAAACCAAAAAAGAAAAACCTCCACAAATATTGCAAATATTACTTTAAAAATTTAGGTAAATGATTTAATAGACCTTTCTCCAAAGAAGATAAATAGTCAATAGTCACTGAAGAGATGCTTTGACATCATTAGTATTTCTTTAGAAGAGTAAAATAAAAACCGTGGGATAACTGTTCACGCCCATTGGTATCACAATAACTTAAATGATCTATGCTATCTACCTATCATATATTACTTTTATCATAATAAATATAGACACCAAATTTTCAAAGTAAAATATGCATTCCTGGGGAGTGCAAGAGATGGATGGGAACCGATTTCTACATCTGTACATTTCATATGTTGGCTTTTTAAATTGACTAGCCAGAGAATTCGCTTGTGGTGGAGAAGTCAAGCTGCTTCTTTCATCTCCCCCTTTACATGTTCCTTTTTTTGCACTTGCAAAAGAAAAACCTACCTTTTACCTATCCTGAATCTTACCTGGATGCACTGTCCTACAGGGAGAAATCCCCAGGGGGCCAGAGAGACAATTCCAAACACTGCTGTGGATGGCAGACAAACAAATTGCTCTAACAAATGAATGTGGACCAAATCCTTTCACACCTCAAGATTGTTTGCAATTGTTTGCTTCCAATAAAAATGGAAGAAAACTCCAATGGGTTTTCAGCTGATAAATCATGAAAAATAATTTTGAAACTAAATCACTGTGTAGTTTCCCCTCATCGATCTCCAAAAGGATTCACTAGTGCTAAAGTCCATTCCCATTTAATGAAAAGGAGTTTTTCTGTGCGATAACATTTAACCAAAGGAAAACTAGGATGAGATTTATGCTTAATCTTGTCTCATTCTAGCAATAAGCAATATTGCTGTATACACACCCACCCCCCCACACACATACACACACACACACACACACACCTCCCCAAGAAACTCTATCAAGCTTTGTCTATCTTCAACAAGTCTTTATGTAAAGATTTTTTCTTGGGCTGGGAAGGTGGCTCAGTGGTAGAGCGCTTGCCTTGCATGCATGAGGCCCTGGGTTGGATTCCTCAGCACCACATAAGCAGAAAAAGTCAGAAGTGGCACTGTGGCTCAAGTGGTAGAGCGCTAGCCTTGAGCTGAAGAGCTGAGGGACAGCGCCCAGGCCCAGAGTTCAGGCCCCACGACCGGACCCCCCCCCCAAAAAAATCAAATGTTAAATTGCTTCTGGTATATTTGTGTGTGTGTGTATGTGTGTTTGTGTGTGTGTGAGAGAGATACAGGGAGAGACTGAGAAAGAGACAGAGACAGAGAGAAAGGGAGAGAAAGAGAAAGAAAGAGATGCCCCTGTTTCTTAATGATCTAGACACTTCCTTATTGATATGTGCCTTCTGGAAAAGCCAGTCCTGATTCTAGCCCAGGGGTAAATTCTCTGGTTTAGTGCTGTGTCCCCAGCTCCTAGTACAATGCCTGCCTGTGGGTGGGGGGTGTCCAATACACTTCTGTTGATTGAATGGTAGCAGAGCCCTCCACTTCAGAACACATTGGCCTGGGGATAGACCAGGTGTGGGCTACTTCAGGAAGTTAGACAACTTCAAGCCAACACAGCTATTTTTTCTAGTGCTCTCTCTCTCTCTCTCTCTTTCTCTCTCTCTCTCTCATTGTTAGTACTAGGGCTTGAACTCCTGGCCTCAAGATCCCATTTGGCTTTTTCACTCAAGGCTGGCAGTCTACCATTTGAGTGAAACCTCTACTTCCAGCTTTTTGGCAATTAATTGGAGGTAAGCCTCTTGGATTTTTCTGCCATAGCTGCGTTCAAACCATGATCCTCAGATCTCATCCTCCTGAGTAACTAAGATTACAGGAGTGAGCCACTAATGCCTGTCTAAGATGGCTATTCTTCAATGACCCACACTCTTAAGTACAGATATCTTTAGGTCTCTTGGATGTCCATTCCCATGTAAAAGGGGGATAAGAGTCCTCCCCTGACTCTCCTATACTCTATAACCAAAGTTGCTTTTAGCAGCATCCACCATCACAGCATTCCTTCATGCAGTTACACCAGGTGCCTGCCATAGAGGAACTGAAGACAGCTGACTTAGGCAGGAGGGCAACCCTAGTCTAACAAGAACCAGGTAGCCTCCTTAAAGGCTCAGGATGCCTGATTTTATCTGCTGCTAACCCCAGGTGGCCCACCCCACCCTCTCCCTAGAGGTTGTGCATTGAAGGGTGACATGCATTGAGAACTTGGCTGTGCTTTACAGACAACACAGCCCTACAAACCAGGCAGTGTGCACTGGCCACAGCCGAATGCCACTAGGACTCAGGAACCAGACACTCCGAACACTTCCTTTGGGCCCAGGATTTGTAATCCCTGCACTCGGCTCTGAACCTCAGGACTCACAGCTGCAGCTGCTTCCCACAACCATTCTCACGATCTGAGCTGCTTGTTCATTTCTCCAGGACCTCATGGTGCTGCTGACCCTCCACACAGGGGTTCCCAGAAGCTCCCCCGACTGGCACCTAACCCCTTTCCCCGTGGCAGCTCCATGGACAGATATCCCATCTGCTTCTCCCCACCCAGGAGCCTTCTAGGGCTTAAGGGTGTCTGTCCTTTTCTCAGCCTGGGGGAGAGGTCCCAACTATAGAAATGATCTCATGGTCGCTTGTTCCTCCCATTGGCCTTGGAGAGGAGAGCTGGGTTCTGCTGTGGGCTGCTGACTTCTGCCCTGGGCTGTTGAGCCAGGAGGCTGGCTGCCAAACCCTCATCCCACCCATGGCCTTGGGAGCATGTGGAGGCAAGGAGCCGGACCAGACCAGTCAGAGTGCTGATAAGATGGGCAAGAGTCTTGCCACTTGGAGCCCAGCGGCCTTGGGAGCACTTCCCCTCCAGATCTGGGGTATGGGCCGCCCCCCAAATGGAGCTGGGGCTTTATTCCTCGTGGGGAGGGCAGGTCTCGGTGAGAGGGGAGGCTGGGACAGGCTGTGTGGTCAGGCTTAGCTGCAGGCATGCTGCTGTCACAGGGGGTCTGCCTGCGTTCCCCAGGCTTCCACAAGTGAGGGCTCATTTCACAGCTTCAGACACGTTTCTGGCCTTGGTAACCACTCGGCCCCCGGCCCCGCAGCGCTAAGGGAAGCCAGGCTGGACGAGGGAAGGACGAGGAGAGGGGTGGAGACGACGAAGGGGGTCAGAGCAGCGATTGGAGCTGAGCATTGGAAGCGCCTTATAGAGACTGCGCGGTCCCCGCCCCCTTTCCCGCCAGCCTCAATGAATTAGAGCTGTGTTTCCCAAACTTGCCTGATCCTAAGCAGTCTCTCAGGCTCCAGTTAGAGATCCAGGTTCCGGAGCACCTCCCTTCCCGAGTGATTCAGTAAGCCTACGGGCGGAGCCGAGGAATCTGTAATTTTAACCGGCTCCCCACGTGATTGTCGTGAACAAGCAAGTTTGGGAAATATTGAATTAAAGGAAACGGGGCCTGGCTGCAGAAGCAGCCTCCACTAGGGGGCTTCGGCGGGAGGATTCCCGGGGGCGTCGCCTGCTTCCGCCGCCGCCTCCTTCAGTGAAAGTCCCTTTTGGGTCTAGCAGCCTCAGTCACCGCGCTCCCTCCAGCCGGGCGGGGGACACCCGAGGTCTGCGTGGCCCCCGCGCCGCCACGCCCAGTAGCTGTTGGAGCCCGGCGAGCAGGGGGAGGAGCCGCTGCCAGTGGAGGCGGAGGAGGGAGAGGAGGCGGAGACGGCAGAGAAGGCGGAGAAGGCGGAGAGGAAGGTGGAGGCGGAGGCGAAGGTAGAGGAGAAGGTAGAGGCGGCCGGGAAGGTGGAGGCGGCGGCGGGGAAGGTGATCGCCACCGAGAAGGTGGAGACGACAGCAGGGAAGGTGGACGCTGCCGGGAAGGTGGAGACGGCGGAGAGTCCGGGCCGCCGGGCTGAGCTCAAGCTCGAGCCCGAACCCAAGCCGGTCGGGGAGGCGGAGCAGGAGCCGAAGGGGGAGCCGAAGCAGGAGCTGGAAGATGAGACCCCAGAGCGGAGCGGCGGTGGTGTGGGCAGCAGCGACGAGGTTCCTCCCCCTACCCTTCCCTCCGATCCCTCGCGGCCCCCCGATCCCTCTCCGCGCCGCAGTCGTGCCCCACGTCGCCGACCCCGGCCCCGGCCCCAGACCCGGCTCCGTACCCCGCCGCAGCCTAGGCCA